AAAGCAGTTCAAGCTGGCCCTGAGCTCACTTTGCAGCCCAGGCTGGCCTCAAACTCACAACCATCCTGCCTCAGCCTCCCCAGTGCTGAGATTACAGGCGTGTACCACTGTGCCCGGCTCTCTGAGATCCTTTTCAACAAGACCTTTGTCATCTTACAAAATCAAGGAATTGATTATCCTATGTTCAGAATTTTCCTTTTACCTGTATGCCATGATTGTCCACTGAAAAGTAAACCTCAAAAAGTAACGGATAGGGGCTGGTGATTTAGCTCAGCGGTACAATGCCTGCCTGGCAAGCACGAAGTCGTGAGTTCGATTCCCGGTGCCAGCAAAAAAAAAAAAAAAAAGTAAAGGATAACTAATAACTACTGTTTAGTTATAAGACTACATTTGGTAAACAAGGTGTGGTCTTTCCATGACTGTTCTAGTAAACACTTCTAATAATGTTAGTCTTCTAATAATCAAGTTACTATATACTTCATAATTGCAGTATACCTTTTGGATAGTGTTTTAGAATGGAATTTTGTTTTTTTTTTTGGTTTTTCTCCGGTACCGGGAACCGAACTCACGACCTTGCACTTGCCAGGCAGGCGCTTTTGCCGCTGAGCTAAATCCCCAGCCCCTAGAATGGAATTGATTGAAAAACCAAGGGATTCTTATTTCGTATTTTATGTGAAAAATAATCAGGATCAATTTTATTTTTTGGTGCCAGGAATCAAACTCAGGACCTTGTAATTGCCAGGCAGGCGCTGTTCCACTAAGCTATATCCCCAGCAAGGATCAACTGTTTAAAGTTCCCTCAATAATATATTTCACCAACCTACTTAAAATCTTAGTGAATTAATACTTTAATGTGGCAGTTTTTGGCTATCATTACTTTGGATTTAATACAAGGATACAAATTATTTTGCTCATTCAGAAATATATATAACAAAACAATATTTCAACCATAAAATACTGCTACACCGACTTTATGTTTCATATTTTTATTCTGAAATAACCATAAGTTGTTGGGAAGAGAATTCACCAATAAAAAAAATATACAGGGAAATGTGTTACCCTTAATAGTTTTTCCCAATGGCAACATTTTGCATAGTGCAATATAAGTCAGGAAAATTGATCTTGCTACAATCCAGAATTTATTCAGATTTCACTAATTTTACATATCCACTTAGCCATGTAGTTCTATGCACTTTTGTCACATGGCAATCTGTGTAACCACTGTCAAGATAGAGAAATGTTCTTCCACAAGGCTCCTTTTATACCGTATAGACAAGCCACTCTTTTCTTTTTGGTTTTTCTCCGGTACTGGGAACCGAACTCACGACCTTGCGCTTGCCAGGCAGGCGCTTTGCCGCTGAGCTAAATCCCCAGCCCCGACAAGCTACTCTTATGCAAGCTGGTAGAAATCCTTAGGCACCTTTGTGCTTAAGCATTGTTTTCAGATGTTTGGGCTTCTCAGAGGTTTGTCAGAAACTGGAGCCATCCCTTCTATTTTCTATGCCTAACCTTGGCAACGACTAATCTATTATTTCCATCATTTTATTTCAAGAATGTCACATAGTTACCATAAACCATGTACACTTTTGAGCTTGGCTTTTTTCACTGAGTGTCATTCCTCAGAGGTCCATCTAAATTACTGCATATATCACCAGTAGGTTGTCCTGGCCTGGGAGTGTAACTCAATGGCAGAGCACTTGCCTAGTGTGTGTGCCCAAGGCCCTGGTTTTGATCCCCACCGTTACCCCCGACCAATGTCCTGTTTTTAGTGCATAATATTGCATGGTCTGGAAATATTACCACTTAATCATTTGCTTTTATGTGTGTCTGTGCTACTGGGGATGGATCACCTAGCTAACAAATGTCCAAGGATAACTGACTTTATTAAAAGTTATGATTAGTGAGCCATATTCTAAAACTAAAGAATCAATTTCTGTGGGTAGAAGAGTGGAACAAATTCCCTGGGACCTTGTTTAGCCATCTAAACTTGAGAACTGATGTACTTTGTATTTTGAGGATCTTTTAGGTATAATGCATGTCCATACAACAGATAATTATATAAACTCCAATAGAAAGTAGTATGATATAGATAGAGAGTTCCTTTCAAAATTGCAGAGTAGAGCACATTTAATCAAGACTTAGGTCAAAAAGCTTTTATGGGGGCTGGGGATTTAGCTCAGCGGCAAAAGCGCCTGCCTGGCAAGCGCAAGGTCGTGAGTTTGGTTCCCGGTACCGGAGGGAAAAAAAAAAAAAAAAAAAAAGCTTTTATGATAGAAAGAATTTACAATGATCGGTAAGATTTTCTTTCATAGTAATTTTATTATGTTGCTTGTTACCCCAGTCTTGTTACCTATAGACTTGTTCATTTAAGATGGCTGGCTGTTCACAAGTATACACAGTGAATAATACTCCATGTTATACACCAAATGAAACAACATTTGCTCCATGCTGATTTTTTTTAAAACTTCAAAATATAATTTCATAATCATAAATATTTGATTACTGTCAATTTTAAGCCATCATAATATTCAAGAATGATCAATATACTTAAATTTAAATTGGTAACATTTCAATGCTATTTTCAAACTCTGCTTTCTACATGTTCACATTCACATGAAAGAACAGCACATCACTAATGATCAAAATGTAAATCAGAAAGAACGCCAGGCCTTAGCTGATTGTTGTGTTAGGAACCCATGACAAATCAGCTCTTAAGTGATGAACAGCTTCCTTCATTTTAGGAAAATATGACTAAAAGTCTTTAATACTTTCAAGATTTATTTCATAAAACTAAAAAACCATATGAAGTGGATAATAAACCAAGATTTTTGTCCTTTTTAAATGAATTTTACTTTTTTTGGTTAATACAGAAAACATGCTTAATATCACTATTCAGTATGTGTCTACAAAAAATAAAACTGTCCTTAATCTTCCTACATGTTTTTTCAAATAAAGACATTACTACACTCACATGGTAAGAGGTTACTGAATCAGCTATAAAATCAGTGACAAAAATCATGTATTACTGTAAAAGATGATGTAACAAATTCATTGTCAGATAAGGAATCAGTATAGCATATCGAAGACATACATAAGAGGTAGAATTCTTAATCACATTTTCATAGGAAAGATGCAGTAGTTTGTATCTATACCCTGCTTTACTAGTTGTAGTACTATAAATCTGCTCACGAATTTCACAGGGCAAAAGGGAGGGCTCTCCATAAAAGGTGATCTTCCTGACCTTTTTTTTGTATGTGTTACAGGGACTTCTAGGCACCTGAAGCATTTTCTTGGCCAATTAAGGTAACTGATCATATAGGGTGTTAATCTCATGTTTAAAAAGCCTCAGTAGGGAAATAGAAACATTTTTTCCCCCAAGGGCCTTGAGGAGGAGAGGCAAATGTCTCTCTTTTACCACTCTGAGCATAAATTATAAATGATGTCACATTTCTCTGGGTATCATCATTGCTCATCAAGCTCTCCATCAATATATAGACAGGTTCTGTACCCAAATTTTTAATTTGATTTTTTCTAACTCACAATGTATTTATCATAATAGTACAAATAGGTATAACTTTAAAACTGTTTCACTCATGATGAAGTTAAATTACTGTTCCATTAAGATTCTACAGATTAAAGTACTAGGGTTGCAGAGAGTTTCATGTGTATATGCGTTATTTATATGTTAGGTGTTTATAACTTGGGACTCTGTTTCTAATCTTCAGTGTCAGTAAGTTGATCAGAAAGGTCATTTTATGGATGTTATATTTACACCCAAAGCTAAACCTCATAGTGGGACTTACATTTCATAAGTTGTTCCTGAATAGTTATTAAAGATATTTCAAAACTGTAATTATAGAAATTCAAATAGAATTTTTTTTTCCAGCTAACTGGGAAATACCTCCTATGATTTATTTTAGGACTGTGATATCATAATGAGCATGTAAGACTGCAGATATTTATTTATAGTTCTACTTAACTTTATTTATTTATTTATTTTTTCTTGTTTTTTCTTTTTCCGGTACTGGTAATTGAACTCACGACCTTGTGCTTGCCAGGCAGGCACTGTGCCACTGAGCTAAATCCCCAGCCCCTACTTAGCTTTATTTTAAATCAGGTATTCGTAAGTTTATTTCAATTCTTTCTGTGTCTAATACTTTTGGAAACTAAAAAAAAAAAGATTTATTTACACTAGGCCGAGATACTTTTAGCAGAATTTCCTTAACTGCTGGTAATGGTATGTTATCAAAGTCAGTAATCATGTTAAAATTTGCACAACACTGTTGACAGATAATATAAAAATAAATGTATTTTATCTCATTTAATTTTAAAGTCCTACACTTTAGCTGCTGTCACAGAATGCATCCTTATGGGAAATGAGCAAGCTTTATTTATATATCTTCAATCCAGAAAATGTTCAATTATATATTCTGCATTTCAAAGAAAAAACTTGTCCTAACTTAATGAAAAAGTATGCCTTTGCAGTTTGAAGAATAAAAATGATCTTTTGGGAGTGTAGGCTAAGTACATCAAACTAACACTTCTGCTAACATTTTCATTGAACTAATTGTCTTTAAAAATCTCAAATGTATTTCAAAGGTATCTTTCTATTTATCTGTTAGAAAAGATACATATGTAAATAGAAAAGATATATTTAATCCATAATCATGTAATTCTTAGATTTATAACGATATATCAAAAATTTCTATAATTAATTTTTCAGGGTTTTTTGGCAGGGTACCAGGAATCAAACTCAGGACCTTGCGCTTGCCAGACGGGCGCTGTGCCACTGAGCTGCATCCCCAGCCTTCTACAATTAATTTGCAATTGCCACCATTACAAAGAAATTTCTAAGTAAAAGCAGATTGTGTGGTATTGCATTTATGCCCAGTGTTAATTCACAAATGATATCTGTAAAAAAATTTTTTTTTTTTTTGCGGTACTGGGGATCGAACTCACGACCTCACGCTTGCCGGGCAGGCGCTTACGCCACTGAGCTATATCCCTATCCCTAGAAATTGGCTGATTTCTTTTTTTTTTTTTTTTTTGCGTGTAAAAATTTTAAAACTTAGAAAAATGCAGTTATTAGTAAGAATTTCAATTAAACTTACACTTATGTAAAATATTCCAGTTACACACTTAAGTGTAACTGGATGAGTGAAGTAGATTGCACAGAAAACGAAGACTTTCACATTAAAATTATACTTATTTTACACTTATTGAGAATGTCTGCAAACGTTTTGAAAAGACTACTAATGGTCTTGACTATTAATGGTAACAACTGCACTTTTCTGACCCCACTTTTTTCCAATTTTGTTAAGTAGTTGAGTTTTAAGTTCTACTTTTTCTTTTATCTTCAAATAGACTCTTCAGCATATAAACTTGAATAGCTGAGACTACCACCATGACAACTAAGTTAACCATAGACCAGAAATTGACTCTATCAAAGTTGCTTTCTTGTATGTTTCGATCACGGGCTTCAAATGCTCTGAGCAGAGTTTGTATATGACCACTTTTGCTTACTCTGGACTTGATGCTGTTGATGGATTCCTGGAGATAAATAAAATAATTTTACTATAAAAAATACTCAGAAATTTTAACTTAACTTAAAACAGGCTCTATGGTTTTTTTTTTTAATCCAAACATAATTTTAGGATAAATGGGGGCATAATTCAGTTAAAAGTAGTAGTCATTTTATTTAAAAATCCACTGTAAGATTATATAGTAGTTCTCCTGATATATTTAAATTATTGTTTAGTTATTTATAAAGGTATAAGGACACTATGCATTAGTAATATGGAATTATTTGAGTGACAGTACCAGAAATCTCATGTGTAGTATCTTTTTTAGCTCATAAAACTATAACAAAATGATTACAGCTTTTCAAAAAATGACAGCTTATTACCTTTAGATATTTACCTGTTTTTTTAATGCATTTTGTGTTTATACTGTTTTGTTCTTTGAATGTTAGTCTGACCAATGTACTATCTGGCAAAACTCCAAATGTTTTTATCTCACAAAGTATTAGTGAAATCAGAAAATATTTCACTTTTACATGTGCTACGTACAAACAACAGTATTTTTTTTGGTACTGGATAGCAAACTCATGACTTCACGCTTGCCAGGCAAGCACTTATGCCGCTGAGCTATATCCCTTGCAAACAATAGTATTTATAATATAAAACGTTTCCATATCACATTTATAAAATGAGGGTACTAATATGTATGCTAAGTTACACACATTCTGGGGAAAAAAAAACTTTGTAATAGGGCCCTAAAAGCTATAACAGAGCTGTATGAACATAAAGTAAAACTGAGATTTGAAATGTTTATAAAAATATTTATGGCAAAAGTACAAAAATATTAGAAATAGTTTTCTTCTGGAAAATGCAGATAAAATGCTTAGTTCAATGCCTATCACATTTTGGCCTCTGGATGTTAATAATTTTTATTACTTTATTAGAAGATCACACTAACCAGGATGTCTTCGAGTTTCATCTCCAACACATCTGTACCAGTAATATATTTCTTCCAGTCTTCTTGTTCTTGTGCCTCTTCTCCCATATTATCCAGGATTAATTCAAAGAAAATTACTTTCTCAGAAATGGTGCTGAATGTATTGTCAAAGCAGAACATGTAATCACCAACTTCAGTTTCTACACTGAATTTAAAAAAATGCATGTTTTCAGTTATTTGTACTTCTATTTGAGATCAAAAGGAAAACAAGTACAGGTGAGAGGGAAGAAAACATGGTTTATAATTGGGTTGCTTCTTGATTTCCTTAGTACTAAAAGGTAATTTATAGTTTCTTGCTGAAGCAATCTGGAAACATATTCAAGTACTTGTAGCTTAAACATGCATGGCATTTACTTGTTTAATTATCTTGATCTAATTTTCAGAAGATGGCAGAATTAAAAACCTAAATATACCATAATTCATAATTTTAATATACATTACTAAAGGAATTTTATTATGAATTCAGTTCATATGCTATGTGTATATGACTATCAATGTATCCTTCAAGTGAGATTAATGTGTAAATTTTCTTTTAAAGATTGTTGTAGTAAGTATTTTCTTCTAGGCCTACTACTAATTAAGTACATTTTCATAATACAGTCTACAAAGGTTAAAGAAAAGGCCTACAGCTAACAAACCTCACTTTCTGTTGGATTACCTTTACTGAATAAATGCCATTCATATATAAACTGAACTTAAAATCTTTGGTCTTAGTACCTTTACATTCAAAATAATTGGCTTGGCCATAATTGACTTGTTAGTGAAGTAGTTTCCCAATGATTTTTAATCTCTATGGTAATGACATTTCCTACTGTAGCCCCAAACAAGAAAACACAGCTTCCTTGAATGAATGGCAAAACTAATTGACACTTTAAAATATGTATCAGTGAAATACCTGTTACCTTTATTCAGTTAATTATTGCACAAGAAACTATTGATAAAACCTTAAGAAACTAGCCAAAAAAGAAATGCTCTGGTATGCCTATGGAGTTCATAAAAATTACCCTGTGAGCACTAATAATAGATACATATATGTAAAAAAAATTAATTTGACTAAAAAAAATTTTTTTTTTGTCCTTTTGGGACAGGGTATGATTATGCAGTTCAGGGTGGCTTTGAGTTCACTTTGTAGCCCAGGCTGGTCTCAAACTTGCAATGATCTTGCCTCAGCCTCCCAAGTGCTGGGATTACAGGTGTGCACCACCACACGCAGTTTAAAAACAGTTTTATAAAATTAATTTTAGAATAAATTTACCTGTGCTGAAAAGTTTTGAACAATTAATAGATTTTAATTACATTACCAATCATGTATGTATGTATTTATTTATTTTTGTCTTTTTGAGACAAGGTCTCGCTATGCAGTTCAGGCTGACCTTGAGCTCACTTTGTAGCCCAGGCTGGTCTGGAACTCACAGTGATCCTTCTGCCTCAGCCTCCTCTGAGTGGGCGTGCACCACCATGCCCAGGTAATCTTATGTATTTATGTGAACTGCTGTTAGTTACACTTAATACACTGCTCTATATTGCAAATACATGCATTAAAGTTACTCCAAAAATAGTTAAAATTTGTGTTTAATATGAATAGCTTCCAATTTTTAAAGTTCTAACAATTTTGAACTTAATTATGTTTAATTCAGCTTTACTTATCCATTCTTAATCTGTGGGTTGAATAAAAAAACACGCTTTGTTTTATCTGGTGTATTTATTATTTACAGCACAGATATATAACGAAGTATGCAGAATATCCGTGTTATTAAAATTTCAAGGGGAGAAAGGTATGTGAAAAGGTTCCAAGCAGGGGAAAAAGGTACAAATAGAAAAAAGCTGAAAAACACTGACTCAAATATATGGGTTTCAGCAGGTGTATGAAAAACAAAAAATTCCTTACTACGTTATAGTATTGCAAAAATTTGTGTTGACAGCTTTTAGTAAAAAGGAATCTTATTACAAACATGGAATATCATAGAACTAAAATCCATAAATTTCTAGTAAAATGAGGTAATTTAAAATAAGTGCTAGTAGTATAGGTTAGGGTAATATTAATTCAATTGTCTAGAAAAAACTGCAATCATATATTACTCCTCATTACAAACAGTGGTAGACAAACACACTGTTTAAACTATTTAGTTCTGTTTGAAGATATTTTCACTAACCTTATTTTGCCGGACATTTCTTTCTTTTTTCTTTCTTTATTTTTTTTTGTCTTTTTGAGCCAAGGTCTTGCTATCCTGTTCAGGCTGGCCTTGAGCTCACTTTGTAGTCCAGGCTGGTCCTGAACTCACAATGATCCTCCTGCCTCAGCCTCCTGAGTGTTGGGATTACAGTTTTTTTTTTTTATATCGTGACTTGAACTCAGGACCTTGCACTTGCCAGGCAGGTGTTGTGCCACTGAGATATCTCCCCAGCCTCACTAGACATTTATTTCCAAGATGTCTTAAGGAAAAATCTACTTTTGGGTCATAATTGAGATTTTAGTTGGTTTTATAAAATTAATATAGCTAAACATGAAAGTTTTGTTGTAAATCCAGTTTTTAGAAATATTTTTAATTTGCTATCACGATTAACAATGAGTTGTACTGCCTAAGTTTAAGATACTGGCCTTGCTTTTCACTAGCTGGTATCTTTCAGCAACTCACTTAGCTATACACTATGCCTCATTAACAAAATGACATTATATACCTCAGTATTCTGGTGAAGAATAAAAAAATTAATATGGCAAAGTGCATACTGGTTTGGCGTATTGAAAGAACTCAATAATGAACTATGATAAACTCAATTCTTTTTCTCCCAATGGTTTAACAATAAGTAATTCTATAAAAGCAATAAAATACCTCTTTTCTCCTAACAGTTAATTTTATCTAAAAAAAAAGCAGATAATTAGGCAGGCACTGTGCTGCTGAGCTATATCCTTGGCCCAGAAGCAGATAATTAGGGACAAGTAAAAATTGAAATTTTTTATATTCTGAAACTTAAACATGAACTATTTTTGTTCATATACCTATCAAAGAGAAAACAATTAATTTGTAGCTTATCAATTTTAAATCACTATTTTATTTAATTAATTAATTTTTTTGGTACTAGGAATCCAACTTAGGACCTTGTGCTTGCCAGCAGGTGCTGTGCCACTGAGCTATATCCCTGGTCCTCTATTTTATTAAAAGTTTATACAGGTATTTTTCTGTGTTTCATGTAGTGTAAAGGCCATTTAAAAAACCATTTTCGCTGATAGTCGCATTGGATGCCTGTAATCCCAACATGTCAGGAGACTAACCCAGGTGGATTGTAAATTTGAGCCCAGCCTGGACAACTTTGTGTCTTTATGAGATCTTACCTCAAAATAAAAAGGGCTGGGGGTGTAGCTCAGTGTGAAGGCCTTGAATTCAATCCCCAGTCCACACACACACACACATACACACACACAAAAAAAAAAGCAGCAAAAAATCAAAAATTATTTAAAATTATCATTCTAAAAAGATATGGTTCAGACTTTTTCCCCTCTCATTTATGTATCTATTTAGTATTTACTCAGTATCAATTACATGCCAGGCACTTTGGTTAACAAAAACCAGTAAGTATAATAATAGCTAGTACTTACTATAGTGCTATGTGCCAGGGATGTTCTGAGCATCATATGGTAGAAACCAAGAGTTTTGGTTCAGCCTGTCTCCACCCTGAATGTGTATCCCTGCAGACTTATTTAACGTCTCTGAGCATCCTTGTCTGTAAAACGGGAATTGGGAATCAAAGACTCTATCTTGTAGTGGGTAGAGTTATTTAGAAGCCTATGATATGCCAACTTTATGACAAATAATACTGTCTGGATTTACTAATCTTCCTTTTAGTTTTAATATAATATTGACTAAAGAATGTGCTGTTGTGAAAGAGAATGGGACAGGGAAACATACCAGTGAGATATGAAGAGAGAACAATATAAGAAGAGACTGTAACTTTTTGTAGAACTCTGAACTCAGAGATGTTTTTTTCTACATGGTTTCCTATGATGAGATACAGGCGTTTTAATTAGAGTGAGGTGTGAGTAAAACAGTTTACACACACAAAGATGTATTACACTTTTATTTTCAAGAAAGATGATTATGAATAAAAATGATAAAGCTAGCAGCTCAATAAATCTTTGACACACAACAGTTGTGTAAGAATACTTTTTAGTTAAAATGGAAAGCCTGTGCTAGCCAGACAGGTAAGTGTAAAATACCATAATGGATTGAATACAGTACCTAGGGAATATTAATATATTTACGCAAAGAAAAAATATATATATGTGCTGCTAAAAGGAGCACAAGAAAGGAAAAATGCAATCAAGATCAAAACAAATCTCTAAAGAAAAAAATTAGCTGGTTGTAGCAACTGATGAGGCTAAAGCAGAATCCTTTGATTCCAGAGATTAAAGGTCAGCCTGGGCAATATGGCAAATCTTTGTCTCAAAAAAAAAAGTTAATGGGATATGTTTTAGTTTAGAAGATGGCTCACCATCAAAGACTGCTTACAATCATTTGGAATGATCTAATACTACTAAATTTTCCTGCCCTGCAGATAGTTCTTTAGCCAAAAACCCAACTTACGTGTGAACTCCATCTGATTTTCTTTGTTCAAAAACTAAAGTTTTGCCTTCTGGAGAGGCAAGATGGAAATCAATATCTAATCCTGCTCCATCTAAGACCTGTGGAAGAGCATACAAGAAAAAAATATGTATTACACATTCTGAAAAATTATAAAGTAGATCAAATGATATAAATATTTTCTTTCAAGCCTCCAAAGTTATGGTTGGGCAAGGAGTTAAAACTTATCTCTTCCCTTACCCATTTGTATTGCCTTCACCTGGATTTAGGCCTTGTGGATATACTAAAAATATACTTTCCTAAGGTAGTACTTTCATTGAGAAGCCTTGTAGAATGCACAGTAATATACATAAGAGTTCAAATGTTGGTACTAGTTCTTTTACTTAATATTTAAGTAATTTAGCCGGGCGTGGTGGCACACGCCTGTAATCCCAGCACTTGGGAGGCTGAGGCAGGAGGATCGTTGCAAGTTTGAGACCAGCCTGAACTGCATAGCAAGACCCTGTCTCGAAAAAGACAAAAAAAAAAAATGTAATTTAAGACATGCTATATACATTTTTGATTTTGTTTCCTTTTCAATGAACAAATATTAATTACCTACTTCTTCACTTAGAATCCAAGGCTTTTATGATCTAACTCCAACTGAGTTCTTTAACACATTATGAACTGTGTATTCCAATCCAGCCAGTCTACTTACTGGCCAGTGAACATGATTTTGTGTCCTATATAATTCCCAAATATCCTTGTAAAGATGATAGTGTAACAGCAGATCACAATTATAGTTTATGCCATATATTGTTTTAAAGTGCTTTAGCTTTATGTAGATTATTTATTCCTTTCAAAACTCTAAAAGGTAGGATCTGTTTTTCTTATTTTACTTAAAAAATAACAAAAACTGAGGCACAGAGTAGTAGCTTTTCCAAAGGTACAAAGCAATTAAGTAGCAAGGTATAATCTGAACGCAGCAATCTGTCTCTAGAGTAATTTCAATGAGTATGCTGTGTTGCTTATAGTCATAGTCCATTTTCCTGAATAGATAAGTTCCTGATCCAAATGAACCCATTCAAGATTTAAATCTTTAGAAGTGGACTCCTCCCCAAGTCTGTCATACTCTCTCTCCTGTATTTCTATAGAATACACACCCATCTTCTTTGATACTTAATCATATATTATCTGGGTCAAAGCATCTTTATCCTGGGTGAAAATTTTCAAATACTCTCTCTATAACTCTATACTGATCCTAACTATGGTAATATATCAATGCTTTGATTTTGTCACAGATGCAAATATTTAATAAGTATATCTGTATGTCTTACAAGTTAAAGCACCTTATTGTTTCACTGTAGAACTGTTCCTTTCCTTGTCTTCCTGTTTTTCCATTCCCTCCCAGCCTTTTCTCTTTTTTACCAGTTGTTAAAAAGTAAAAATTATCTACTTGGAACATTATATAATACAGCCTTTTAATTTTTTTATTATTTTAGTTTATTATGATGTTTGTAGTAGTCTTTTTTAAAAAATGTACATTCAATAGCTACTCTCAAGGGCTGGGGATTTAGCTCAGGGGCACAGCACCTGCCTGGCAAGCGCAAGGTCGTGAGTTCGATTTCCGAACTGGTGGAAAAAAGAGAAGAAAATAGCTACTCTCTTAAATAACATATTTTATTTTTCTTGCTGACTTTAGTAGAATGCTTTATTCCTGTACCCTTAAGATCAGTGAAACTAGTTTCAAATAGCTAGATAAATATACATAATTCTTTTGCTTCTTTAAATCTCAATGAAATGTACAAGCTATACAACAATAAAATACTATAATTCACAACAGCACAGGCAATCTTAGAAAAGAGTAGATAGGCTGAGCTGGTTGTGGTGGTACATATCTGTAATCCCAGCCCTCGAGAGCTAAGGCAGGAGAACAGCCATGAGTTCGAGGCCAGCCTGGGCTATATAGCAACTTCAAAGCCAGCCTGAACTACATAGCGAGATCCTGTCTCAAAAAAAAAAAAAAAAGGCACGTTCAGGATGGTATGGCCATAGACAATGCTAATGGAAATCTAAGAAAGCTGTTAGGAGACTTCAAGAGTAAGAGATTTCTGTATGCTACCACACAGCAAAAGATGTATGTAGCTACCAATACTTAAAATGTCAAAATTTTGAAACTGACTAGAGAAAGGCCACACCTTATTTTCATACTGTTGATTTTTCTTGTGGTTCAAATTCCCAGTTGAGTGTGGAGATGCATGCCTATAATCACAGCCTTTGGGAGGCTGAGGCAGGAGGATTGCTCTTCAAACGAAGCCAGCCTGGGCTACATAGTAAATACAAGGCCAGCCTGAACTTCATAGTGAGATCCTGTCTCCAAGAAAAAGTTCCCACCCAAATAATTAAGACTTAAAAACATGTCCTCACAAGATACAAAATGAATACTGAAAAATCAATAGCTTTTCTATACACCAATAATGAATTAGCTGAAAAGAAATCAGGAAAATAATTCCATTCACAATAGTTTAAAAAAACCCAACCAAGCAACCAATTTAGGGATCAGTCTAACTAAGGAGGTGAAAGACTGCTAGACACTTACAATGAAAATTTCAAACCACCAAAGAAAAATTGAAGACGACCCTAGAAAATGAAAAGACCTCCCACATTCATGAATTGGCAGAATTAATCTTTTTTTTTTTTTGCTCTTTTCTGGTACCGGGAATCGAACTCACGACCTTGCGCTTGCCAGGCAGGTGCTGTGCCACTGAGCTAAATCCCCAGCCCCAGAATTAACATTATTAAATGGGCATATTATAAAAAAATAATCTACAGATTCATTGCAATCTCCATCAAATTTCCAGTGACATTCTTCATAGAACTAGTAAATACAATCCGAAAATTCATATGGAAACACACAAACAGAAAAGCCAAAGCAATCCCAAACAAAGAGAGTGAGGGTAAACGTATCACATTACCTAACTTGAAATTAATTATACTACAAAGCCATAGAAATACTGGCAGGGAACTGGCATGAAGTACACTACAGTCATCTAACTGCAGTCATCTGATTCTGGACAAGGGAGCTGAAGACATATGTTGGAGAAAAGAGCCTCTAACAAATGGTGCTGGGAAAACTGGCTACACATACGTAGAAGACTGCAATTACATTCCTATCTTTCACCAGGTATAAAAATCAATTTCAAAATGGATCAAAGACCAAAGTACAAGACCTAAAACGTCGGAAGTACGAGAAGAGAACATAGGGGAAACACTTCAAGCCACAGGCACAGGCAAGGATTTCCTGAATAGGACTCAAAACAGTATAGGAAATAACAGTAAGAATCAACAAATGGGACTATACAAATTAGAAAGTTTCTCCACCGCAAGGGACATAACTAAGAGTGAAGACACAGGGTGTAGAATGGGAAAAAATCTTTGCCAGCTATTCTTCCAACACCCAAAAGGCAAACAGACTCAACAGACACTTCTAAAAAGAAGTACAAGTGGTCAATAAGGATATGCAAAAACCTTCCAACATCTTTAGGCATTAGGGAAATGCAAAACTACATTGAAATTCCATCTCACCCCAATCAGAATGATCATATGAAGAATATAAAAACAAAAAATGCTGATGAGGATGGGGTGGGTGTGAAGCCTTCTACAATGCTGATAGGAATGTAAATTACTACAGCTACTATACAAAACTGTTTGATTCAGCTGTATCACTCCTTGGCTTATACCTAAAGTTAGCATGCTATAGAAATACCTATATACCTATGTTTACTGTGGCACAATTCACAATAGCCCAGACATGTAACTAGTCTAGGTGCTTATCAATAGATGAGGAAAATGTGGTATTTATACACAATGGACTATTATTCAGTTGTAAAGAAGAATGAAATTATGTCATTTGCAGGAAAACGGATGAAACAGATCATAATAAAATAAGCTAGACTCAGAAAAACAAGTATCACATGTTGCCCCTAATATGTGGAAGCTTAAAAAAGATAGCACTAAAGTAGAAGGGAGATTATTATTAGACAAGAGGAACAGAATAAGTAGGAGACAGAATGGGATGATATGATCAGAATATACCACTGAAACTCAGTATATTATAAAATTAATAGGCACCAATAAAAGACATTTAACAAAAATTAATTTGCCAAGAATGTGATACTATATGTACCTTATTAGTTGGACACTTAACCAGCTCCCTCAAAGAGGCTCACAGGAAGAGCAACTGAGGTTGCTTACCAGTATCTCTGTGTTCTGTAGCCCACATTAAGGCTTTGAGTACCTGAACTTCCAGCCAACTGTACCAGATTCTTCACCCACAGAAACAATAAATGTTTATTGTTTTAAGCCACTAAGGAGTCCTTAAATGCAGTATGTGTCAGAGGAATTCAAGAACATACCATTCACAAAAAAAAGTATGTCAATAAGAAATTTCATAGATAAACTAAAAATGGAATGCCAAAATAAAACCTTAACAGATGGAGTGATACAATGAACATGGGTAATCACCAAAAATCAGAGAGAACTAAAAGGAGCTCAGGAATGCTCAGAACAAGGTGAAAAACTGTAAAATGTAAAGAAGGTATGAGAGAAATAGATAAGAGCCTAAAACAAGGACAGAGCTAAAGACTCCATATATCTAATAAGCATTGTCTTCGTTACTTTTCTCTCCTTGCTGGGACAAAATACCTGATGCCCAAAATTAAGGAAGGAAAGGTTTATTTAGCTTACAGTTTGTGGAAGTTTCAGTCCATACTTGGCAGGTTACAAGGCAGAATGGCACATGGCAGAGGGCTACAGCTCATGGCGGCAGAACACAGCAAAAGCAACAAACACTAAAAAGGGAGGAAAGGCTGCAAGCAGCCTCTTCCTCTCCCTTACATATGCAAACTAGCCACCCCAGGGCAGGTGTAGCTCTCACACCCATAATCAATCAAACTCTAAAAGCCTGCCCCATGACAGCATGAGGCTTTGGGGGGACACACAGACACAAACCATAACAAGCATCTACAGAGAAAAATTAGAAAAGGGAAGGAATGAAATCATTCAGTAAATTCTTGTTTTTAAAGATAAAAGTCCGTATTTTCTTATTTTAAAGATAAAAACA